CTCCCAGATGCATTATAAGTATCATATTATGTCATATTAGGACCACTTTCTTGATCCTGAATACGTCAACCATGTACTGTTCATTAATTACGTTTTTTGAATTCCCGTAGAGCTGGAGCTATATTGATGATAATTCAACTTAAGAGTGTCTAGCGTGTTAGACTTTGTGTCATAATCTCATCATAATTCGCGAGCTATCACTGCATTAGAAGGACGGACTTGTAGCCTGACACAAGTGGGTGGGCTAATGGTGTCTGAAAGCATTTAATGATTCTTTTCACCTCGACCGAAATTATTTTTCTGAGAAGCTTTTAGCAAGCATCACCCTAAAAAATAGCTTGCTTTAAATTGTGAAAAAACATGCATAAAGCGTGGAACAAGCCAATAGGTACTTGTTTTATTGGCGTGCATAATACATGCAGCGATATAATCATTAATCACTATTTTGTATATCGATTTAGTCACCCAGTTTTATAACTCATAGACTACAAACGCTCCAAATGAGTTTCTTAAGCTAAAACAATTAACGACAAAATCATATAAAAACCGGAACACTAGAGAACCTTTTTCTACGAGTTTCTTTTCATTTTAAAATGCAATACCAACGCTCAATGTCCTGTGGCTATTGCAGCCTATTTATGTATCTCGTTCAATAGCTCAACAATAACCTGATGCGCCGCTCTGTCGCTGCGTATAGCCTCTCCTGCAGACGGCGCCATCTGAACACGTTGCGCTCGCTGATGATTCCGCTGGCAGGAGTCCCGGTTGTGCCGTGTCCGCCAATCAGCGGCCCTGATTGTGGTCTGTGTGGGAGCGGTGAGCCGCATCCCCGCCCGCTTTGGGGCGGGACCGGACCCGGAAATAGCCCCCACCCCCGCACGGGAAGCGCCCCGCCCCTCCCCAGCTGTGGAGGTGGCGGGGCGATACACTCTAGCTGCGGCGGTGACCGCGAGCTGAGTCAGCCGAATAGGGTGGGGACTGGCAAGGTCCGCTCTTGCCTTGACGATGCTATGACAACAGGGACACGCGCTACTACGGTGATCGGCCTTGGATGACGGCGTGGTGGCGTTGCTCGGCTACTCAGTACCCCTTTGGCCGTAGACCGAATAACTTATAGTGACTCATTTGTCGCTCGTCGCGAGTAATGGTAGTTACAGAACTATTATCGACCTCGTTTGTCACAGACTGACTACGTCTGTCACCCAAAAAAGGTAATCGAAAGGATTAAGTACTGTTGGACCCATATCGTGCCTGCTTATGTGCCAACTACACTATATCGTAATGAAAGGAGTATTTCTTGGAAATATGTTTGAAAGCTGTGCTGCTGTGACTCGTTAACTGTGTGTCGTTTAACTGCTATCCAGAAGAAACCGTTTCAGTTGGGAGTTGTTCTGTGTACTTTCAGTTGGGGTGGCTGGACAGTGGACAACCTGATAGTGAAAGATAAAGATAAATGGACCATCAGAGTTGGTTGATATCCCAGTGCATAAATTGTTCCCAATGACTGTGAGTCGGTTTTTAGGATAAGAAAAGAAATTCTACACAATGATTTGATGGCATCAAATCGTGACTGATCAGCTAATTAATTACCTTGCTAATGTCTTCACATCTGAGGCCTGTTTCACTAACAAATAAAGTGTGTAATTACAAAGAAAAAACTTGAGTTTAAAAGAAATAATTACCAACATTTGAAATTTGGATTTCACGAAACCTTCGGGCATGAATTTTGAGTTTAAAATTTACCAACTTTTTTACAAGAAAAAAGTTTGTAAGAAACATCGAAATCGCAAACTTTCTGTTTCACGAAGACCAAAAACTTGAAAGAAAACGTTGTTCAAACAAACCCGAAATTCCAGTGGCCGTTTGGAATTTTATTACTTTTTGTGCAATGATGCAAGGCAATCAATTATTTAAAACAAATATGATATGCTGAGTCATTATATGCTCTTTTTTACTTAGCACAATCCCTACGAACCAGCTACGAGCAATAAATAAATATCGTCATGTTTTGTCATTCGCGCGCCATAATTGCATTCAATAGTCTTCTGCTGTCAAATGTTTTGCGTGTTATTTTCTTTCAATAATAAGATATTGTGAACCATCATTTATGCCATTCAGAAACAGCATCATTATTTTTAATTCATTTCTGCAATTTCTGACATGAATACTAGACATAGTTGGATAAAAAGAAGCAATATCTGTAACATGTTATAGTTCTTGATTACAAACAATTTTACTGTTTACAAGTTTATTTACCAACTCTTTTTATCGGAGGTGCCGCTGGTGATGAAGTTGAGTGAAATCCGATTTTACATAGTTTGCAAAAATACTTATGAATTGTAAAGTTCAAACACTTGCAATCGCAAGTTTTTAGTGAAACAGGCCTCTGACGGCCTGTTTGTCGCATCAATGCTACCCTGCTCACGTCTTATGACGAAAAAAAAAACGGAAAATGCGAATCCTGAATAAATGTTATTGCCTCTATTAGGTGCAGAACTGAGATAGAGCATTCGGTGAATTGAAAACGGTTTTTTTGCTTGTTTTCCATCGAGTACCGCTATTTACTTTATTTTCCCTTAAAACTTAAGTCTATATTTCTGAAAGCTTTAAAATGTTTGGCATTTGGTTTCGCCCTTTGTACACATCTGCCGGTGCCGGTTTCAGCTCTTTTATCTTATTCTAAACACAAAGCAATATAAATAATCAGGCGACCGCCATCGTCTTCTTTAGTTAGATTGCTTCATAGATAGGGAGGAACTGGAGCAGTTAGGCTCTATAGGTATCCTTCACACGAGCAGTGCTTCTTTTCCAGTTCTTCTTTTATTCTTGTCAATATATTTCTCGCCAGCGACGCTCATCGGAGCTCCCGCAAAAAAAAAACGTTTTCAATAATTCAGCTTTTGGTTACCAGCGGGGGAAATCTATCCTGCCCGCATTGCAGTTGCACGTTGGACGGGACGTGCTGCGCGACGTTTGAGCGGGTTAGATGTCCTGCAGTGGTAGGCTGGCCCGCAGCGCAGCCCTGTCGGGCGGCACAGTCTAACATCCCAGGCATCGAGTGAGGGGAACGAGAACTTTGTGGCTCGGGTGGCAACTGGCAACGTGAGGGTTTGCGATTGACTAAGCTTTCAAACTGCCTCCCTTGTTGTGCAGATCACTAATACGCACTTTTAAGCTATTTTTGGCGGGGAGCACTTGACGATTGATGTATAAATGATCGTAAAATTATCCGCCAAGGGAGATTTCTTGAACTTGGCAGTTGTTTTTCATCTAGGAGGTTTTCAGTTGCTGTCGTGAATTGTAATTTTTGGCATACGAAGTGACATGGGTGAAACTAATTGATGAACTTAAAAAAAACACACACACACTCAAACACTTTTCCCCGGTCAAGTCTGTACATTTTTATTTGGTACGCAGCAGCGCTGTGCCCACTACGCTGTATCCTTGTCTTTACCTTTACAATTCACAGAGCTGTTTCTTGCAAGTTTCTTCAAGCAATCTCATTTCATTGTCTGAGTGGAACTTCTTAGTTCGGAGAGGATGGAAGTGTGTTCGGTTCGGCCTCGGTGGTCCTCGTTACAGCGTTACATTGGCAGCATCTATCGCTCGAGGTTCTCTCTAGCTTTCTCCTGGCTACCTTCCGCTGATTACCTGGCCGATCGTTACCGTCTTCCAATCTCTGCTGCACATGTCTGTGCCCCTCCATTTTCCCACAGCGGCACCCGGAGGTGATGACCCGGCGCCCCTCCCCTGCTCCGAACGGACGTCGATCACGCAAAGATAGAAAACAAACACAGACGGCGTCCAGATTAAACAATCACCCAGCGAAGTGGGTATGAAAAATCTACGCGTCATAATCCTTTCATTCTCGTGACGGGAACCAGCCTCGGCAACGCTAGCGGTGGCCTTTACCAGGCCGGTAGCCTGTGAGCGGAAATCAATCTCTGTGTTGTACCGGACCGAGGTCGTACCGCCGCCGGCGCCGTCACGCACTCCACGCAGCCCTTCACGACACATCGATCGGTGTGAGCGCGGCGACTGCAGAGCGGCTCGCTCCTGGCCGGCACCTGTGGCCGTCTACCTGCCACCGTCGGCCAGCGGCGCCGGCCGGCCGGCCCGACCGCTCACTGTTCGCTCACTATCGGCCCGCCAATCAATGGGCCGCTGCGTGCGACGCGAGGCTGACGGGCCGGCGGCGGCGGCGGCGGCACTGTCCGGCCGGAGACGACCACACAGTCAGCGGCCGCGCTGCCGGCCAGTCAGCACCGACATCGATCCCAGAGGAGACGCCGCCGGCGGAGTCTGCTCGGTCTGTCACCGCAGGCCACTCCCAGTGACGAGGAATCGCCGTGACAGCCGCCGTGACGGCCACCCTGCGTGACGAGTGACGGATTCTCCCGTGACACGGAGCTCGTTGTGACTGCGGTGGGAGAAATTCGGTGACTAGGGTCGTGGTGCGCGGAGCGGCGGCGCCTTCCGCGGTGTTACGGTCTGACTCCGAGTGCTAGTGACCGATGTGACGGGTGGCGTGACGGGGTGACGGGTTTACAGTTAAGCGTAACGGCGCCAAGTGGATGGTGACGGGTGTGTCAGTGATTTCAGTTGGACAGAGGCGTCAAGGGTTGAGATTTTTGCCAACACTCTCCTGAGTTTCAGAGCCCGGTGACTTCCAACCAGCAGTCGAAGTTACATTACATATTTTAAAGGTTTCGACTTTAAGTGGTTACTTCCAAATAGCAAGATCTACAATTATTGAACTATTTTTCATTCAGCCGTCATTGTCATCAATCGTCAGTTACAGTCTAGAAAATAGCTATTTGCTTGCTAAGTCGGTAAATTATGTAGGCATTTTATCTGAATGAAATAAACAATAACTCTAGGTTTTCACTTAGAGGCAGTGGTTGATCTTTCATGTCATCTTGCTATCGCAACCAAGAAGGCATTGACGAAGATGCAATGCATCTGTATGTTGAGCTGCATTATTATGCTTAGGTACTGAAATTTTATCCTGATAATTTTATCGCATAGAATTATTGCAGTTTTATGTAACGGAACTGTCACTTACTTCTCAGTATCCATGAAAATCAAGAATCAAATACTTTGAGTAAAATGGTTCAAGAAGTATGGCTGGATGAATAATACAGACTTCAAGATGTTTTGTTTTCTATTTCGGTGAGCACGTTCCTTTTCAATGCACTGACCCGGGCAGATTGCGAAATCTGTCAGTGCTGACCGCTGGCAGTTGGCACTCTCGCCCTCACCATGAACTCAACCGGTAAGGGTCAGCGGCTGCTGCCCTTCGGCAACACGTACCGGGCACGCTCCTCATGCACCAGCATATCGGAGGAGCGCTCCTCCGAGCCGGAGGACCCGGAGGACGATGCCGAGCAGCCGGCCGCCAGCGCTCCGGAGCCAGTGACCGCTCTGGCTCCTCGCCGAACCCGGCGCGCCTCCTGTGCCGTCGACTGGCGCTACCAAAACCACCGGACGTCACGGGTGCGGGCCGAGTCGCCCTCCGACCCGCTGCCCTCCATGCCGCACAAACGACAGAGCCTGGACGCCCTCTCCAGTGAGCGCCGCTTCGATGGCCGGCGGGCCCGCGGTCTCTCCGTGCAGATTGATGGGGGAGCGCGCTCCCGACTCGGCCAGCGACGCGAGACGCTGAAGTGGGCCGGTGTGCGGGTCAGTATTGACGAGGACTCAGGGAAAGTAGAGAATGAGAATGTCAGTGTCGACCTCGACCCGCTGAAGAACATCGGCAAAGAGGTGGGTGATGTTTCATATTTGGAGGCTGTTAAATGGAAAATGCTGGATGTTTTTCAGATAAAATCGAACTTCCTCATGAAGACCAAGCATTACTATATATTTTTCCCTGTTTTTTTTTTCTAGTATATTTTTCCCTGAATCAATATTGGGGGGGGGGGGGGTTGTAACTAGACTATAGATGACATTTTGCCTTCTTTGATGCACATTTGTTCTAATATTCAAAGCTCAGGCTATGTTCGCTCCCTATTAAATTATAATATTTTTCAGCGCGAAAGGGTATGTTTTGGCAGAAGTATCTGGCTTTGACACACCATTTACTAATTGTATCACTTCGCGCATCACTGCACGCCATCAATAGGATTCTGAGTCAATTATGTGCATGCAAGCAGCATAATGCGGCGTGATATATTGGGCGGAAGATCGTCACACGCCACATTAGCTCGCAGTATGTGCGGCCTGCGACTTGACGGGCACGTCGCTGCGGCATTCTGAGCTTGTCAAACGACCACGGCTTTTACAGCTCAGCCATCTAGGAGCCTCTCGGTCTGACGAAATTAGGCGGGATATACGCAAACTGGCACAATTTACTGTCCGAGATAAGAGCCTCAGCTGCCGGCTTAGCCTAGCTGAGGCTTAGTCATGCCCGGGATCGACCCAGTTTGTCGGATCTGCGGTGGTGTATTGCAGCCACAAAACCAGGCTCGGTCTGCAGGACCAGCCGGCACACAGCTTGTAACATTTTCGGCCGGCTGCACTGGTCTGGCCTGGTCATCCAAGCATGCTGCCGCTACCGAGGGACGTGCTTACATCCATCTTTAACTCGACCTCAGCTCCGGGGCGCCGGGTTCGCGGAATCCAATTTCTGGAATCTGTTGTAACCTCCGGCATTGGTTCATTGGCATTGGCAGCCTCCGCAGCCGTGTTTGGGAGCATTTGCCATGCTTACATGACGCACTCGAGTCTGTTTAATGGGAGGACGCGGCGCGAATCAGGTCGCTCGTTGGCGGCGGAGCTGATCTGACACCCTGGCCGTGACCGGACGAACACCACCGCTCCCGTCGGGCGCTGTGTATTGGCGACGATCTCTGGCTTTCGCTTCACCCGAGCTGGTTTGTAAAATGTCAGGTCAGATCGTTTCGTGTTCACTAGTCAGATAAGCAAACAGTCTGTCTTGCTCACATGCAAGGATGTGTAAGCAGAAAGTGGCGGCTACGATGGCGCCGTGAGACTTAGCAGATGAACATGGATGATAAGTCTTGTCAGAACCTTTTTAGATTATCGCTTAATCGATTTCTACATACCAATTAAACAGGAAACCATTTTCATGTAGATGGTCATCAGAAGTAATGGCCTCACCATATTTTATATCTTTTCTATCCAAGGACATTGTATCTTGGATGACTGGATAATGAATAACCCTGAGCTTCCTTCGCGTTCAATGGCACGAAGACATTTTATGACTAAGTGCACGAAAGCTTTTCCAAAAGCTTCTCTGAAGTTTGAACTAACCCATATTGATGTTGGCAGCCGGACGTCAGAAGTTGGACAGTATCGCTCGATAACTAGAAGGCATTGTGGGTCACCGATTCGCTTGACAGATGACGCATACTCCGACTCGAAAGCTGAACGAGTAACAAACTCGTTTGGCCGTCCCGGCACAACTGTCGTGTCTCCCATTGGCTGCGAGGCTCATGTTTGCTGCGGCGCCACCGTTCGCCAGACATCGATTGGCTGGCTATTTCCGACCGTTTGTTCTACAATCAGCCGGAGAGGACCGGGCGAGAGGTCTCGGCGCCGGTGTAATGTCTCCGGCGGCGAGTACCCTCACAGACACCCCGGTCGGGCTGATCGGAGGTTGACACGGCGTCACTGCCAATACCACTCGGCGCCGACAGCCGGACGTGGCCGGCGTCCGGTCCGAGCAGCCCCGGGAGGCCCGGCGCCGCCTCCGACGCCGACTCCGTCTCCTGACCCGTCCGGTCCCATTAGCGGACCAGCGGCCGAGTGGCCGCCGGCCCGCAACGCCGAGCTGCGCGTGCAGCGCCCGGCCCGTGGCCGCGCTAATATCCATTAGGCCAGCGGCCTGCGCGCGAATCCGGGCCGAGTATTTTATTTACTGTCCGGCGGATCCCACGGGAGCTGGGCTCGCCAGCCAAGGCCAGGGCGTGGCTACTGGTGGGGCTTCGCGGGCGCCGCGGGCTCGCAGGTGTCGGCGAGCAGTCGGGCTCGCCGGGCGGGCCGGACCGCCGCGCGGCTCGGCGCCGGCCGCCCCCCGTGCGACCGCCAGCGCCGACAGCTTCTCAGTGCGAGAGTGGTGCTCCGCGGCCGTCCGCGGCGGCAGCCAGCTCAGAGCCGGGCCGACCTGGCCCGCCGGCGGACGGGGCGTGTGTGTGGCGCGCCGGCCGCCCTCAGCGGCACCAAACATCGCCGCGCGCCGCGGCGCCGCTGTGTATTTTCGCAGCCGAGGCCGATGGGCCAGCTCGGCCCGGAGTGATCGGCAGAGCTGCGTCCCGCCGAGTCGCGCCACCGGCCGTTTACTGTTTACCCACTCGGAGAGGCCGGACTGGGCCGGCACTCTGCGGCGTGCGGCGCGCCCCAGTCAGTGTGGGTCGACGTGGGAGAGTGCTCCGACGTATGTGCTCCGAGTGTGACGCGTTGTGCGATGACTGATGCTCTCGCCGAGTGAGGAGCGGCGGCCGCCGGCGGCACGGCGCGTGTCGTCGCTGGCCGTCGGCCGGATGATGTCCAGCCCGGCACTGCCGCGGCGACACTCCTCTGTTAGCGTCATCAGTGACGGCCGGCTGGCACCGCCCACCCAGCAGCCCAACTCGCTGCCGCTGCCGGCCATCCGGGTGGACGCCGGCTCGCGCTCACCGTCTCCGGATGAGCCGCGGCTGCTGTTCCCGCCGTGCGGCACCAGGACAGCGCGCGAAGTGCGCGCCGGCAGACAGCGGCGCAGACTGACGCCGGCACGCTCACCGCCGCCACGCTGCTTCTCACTGGAATCGCCGGAGAAAACTCGCAATGACGACCGGCGCAGGCTCTCCCAAGTCTCCATGTTGGAGGTAGCCGGCGAAAAGGCCGCGCAGGTGATCGCTCTATCTCAGCTTCTTTTTTTTCCTTTTTTGTCCCGCGCCCGATCCTGGGGGATATGATTCCAGATCTCTTTCGCCGCGTGTGCGGACCAATCTGGTGTCACTCAGCGGGTTTTCCCTCTGCGCCAGGCCCAGTCCTCGTGGGACAGTCCTTGGCTAACGCCGGACATACTCGTAACGTGGTGTTGCCAGCCAAGGCGCGGGTCAATTAGGGCCGTGTTGCCGACGGCTGCCGGAAGGGTGGGAGTCGGCCGTCGCCGACACTCCGCGTCGCTGCCACTGCCGTGCTGTCGTGCTGAATGTGCCGCTAATTCGCCGGACTACCGGTCGGGCTGAGGGCCAATGTCGGCCGGCCGGGAGCGGCGCGGCGGCGGCACCGACGGCGGTGTGAGCCTTATCGGCCATACTGGAGGGGCGCACCGCCCGCCACGGAGACCCGGCGCTCGACGGGCCCTAATTAGGTGTCGCGGGAGGCGTCCGCTGCCAGTGGTCATTCGGCGGCCCGTCACTCGTCCGCTCGTCGGCGCGGCGGCGCTCCGTCATCTGCCGATGTCGGGTGACGGCGTCAGCCGCCCGCCGCCGAATGCCTGTCGAATGTCGGCGCGTCGCCTGTCATCCGGCTGTCAGTCGAGCCTGTTTGTGGGCCACAGCGCGCGGCAATGCAGCCTCTCGAGTCTGGCTTCTCAGCTCGACTGGCGTCAATTGTGCAGTTGATGGTGCACTTCCCCGCCGGCCGTAGAAGCCAGCCCGAGGCACAATCGCTGCTGCCGTCCTTGACTGGTGACCTCGAGGCCTTGCGGAGCATCAGAGAGTTGTAAAAGTGTTGGCTGGTCTTTTATGCCCTTCTGTGTGAAATGTCTTTAATAATTCATAAGGCAGTGCTAAAATGTAGCAAAGATAAACTTCTGTGTTGCAGTAGGTTTATGTATGGTCTTTTTATTTTCTTTCAGACGGGTTTATGCTTATTGCTACATTTGCGATCATTGTCAATTTATGACCTTTCAGACCAGCGGATTTATCGCTGCATCCCTTTGTGGCAAACCAAACATATCAAAGAGTGCACTGATGCACATTGTACAAAATGCATCCCAATGTATATAGCTGGATGGATCTGGGCTCAGCTTGGCATACTCCGGACTCTGACGTGCCCGGCGCGCCGGACGGTCGGTGTGGCCGAGCGATCCGCCGGTGTCGCTGTCACTCTCCGCCGAAACGACCGGCGTCACACACCCTGTCAGCGGCGCCCGGGCCGCGGCAGTCGAGCCGGGCCGTAATCACCGCGCGGCATGCCACAGGGCGTCCATTTCATCAGCCGTGACCCCCGACCTTTGACCTGACCCCGTATGGCGCCCTCTTACACACCGACCCCGCTTCGCCCGACGCGCCTATCGTCTGCAGCTGATCTCATGACTTTGGCGCCGTCTTTAACCTTCATCGGGCCTTTTTTCTCCGAAAGCCATATCTTCGCGAGCTCTGGTGGCATTCATTGCTTCGCAATGATCTGCTGAGTGTTACCGCCTTATGCATATTGGCTGTAGCTAATTATCGCTATCTTTGGACTTTGTGTGATGAAGAATAATCCTGACCTTTAATAATTCTCTTGTAGGTTTAGTTGAATCAGTAGTGATAACCTTATGTAGTTAAATTGAAGAGTAAGGGCTTTGAAGAATTTACCTACTATATTTTTGATAATTTATAGAAACATTACTATAAAAGCCCTCGAAAGATTTTAACGGCTTTTAGTACCACTTTTCGTTGATCACCTCGAAGCTACTGCCAATCAAAAATATCTGGACTTTTATTGAAAATTCCGTGCCTTAGAATATATCTAAACGGACTTCAACATTGCACCGATCAGAGAACCCACCCCAGCATGATGTTTCGACCTGTCTTGACCCTGCGCCATCTCTCTCCGTCAGGTTTTATCGCTGGGAGCGGACGTACTTCCCGAGTACAAGTTGCAGTCGCCGCGCATTCACAAGTGGACTATTCTGCACTACTCGCCGTTCAAGGCGGTCTGGGACTGGATCGTGCTGCTTCTGGTCATCTACACGGCCATGTTCACACCGTACGTGGCCGCCTTCATGCTCAGCGAGCCCAACCACGCTGAGAAGGTCCAGTACGGCGATGATCCCATCGAGATCCTCGATCTGATAGGTGAGTGGTGATTGTTTGAAAGGGAGGGTTACTTTTGTTAGACGGAAGGCTACACGTGAGGCAGCGCGCTGGAAGGGAGATGTAGAGCTAGCTGCGACACGTTACGCTTAGACGGGACGGTACACTTTGATGAAGGTGCCGCACTTGCGAGATCGCATGTGCTTCGGTTTGGTTTGAAATTATTGGTAGCTCAAGCAGCAATCTTTTTTTTTGGCAACTGGTGCTAACTGGAACTTGTATAATGCTGAAGCTATTGTCACATATAGGTATACAAATGGAGGCTAATTGATCTATTCAGAGAATCGTCCAGGGATTTGACCTACGATTCTAACATGGAATTGAGCTATTCCAAGTCCCTGCTCCAATCGCTCCCGCAGGGTATAGTAGAGTACCGATTCCCGTGGAGAGTGACGCGGATACAGAGTATAGGAGAGGGGCGTCTCGCCGTCGCCGCGCCGGTGGCCGAGTTGGACAGGCGGCTGATGGAGCCGCGGCGTGCCGGTCGATTTCTGATCTGGCCACAATGCAAATGCGCGCCGAGCCCGAGTGAGCTGGGGTCCCCTGGCGCCCGTGACGGCGCCGCCAGCAATCTCCGTTTGTGGGCCGCGCTCGGCTCTGCTTCGTCCCGCCGGTAGCGTAGATGTGTGTGGCGAGGCGGGCCGGCCAAATTTGAACGCTCGCCGGCCGGCCGGCGCGGTCAAATTTGTGTAGAGGTCGGCCCAAATGGAGCGGCTGTTTCTGCTGGTGACGTCAGCGGCTGCTGGCTCAGCTGGGCGCCGGTCAGTGGACGAGGCCACTAAATGGCGGCCATTGTTAGCGAGTGGCGACCATTGGTCATCATCAGCGGTGTGTTCGAGCGGCTGGCCCGGGCCAGTTGGCTGGTTTACGGCCTATTCTGCGCCCTATTGATCAGCCGTTATCGCTGGAGTGAATGATGTGTTATTTAAGACAAGGCCAGGTCGATGGCGCGGCAAACATCGATGGAAGACTGGATAGGACATTTAGCCGTGCTAGCAAAGCATGCTACCCTTTCATAATTGCTGAGAACAATTAAGAGGCGTCCAATATTTTTTTGTATCGTTTAACACAATGAAAGTGCTTTGAAGGATTTATCAAATGCCGTTGTACTTGATAGCATTTTCATACATGCGATGCAGTTTATAACTCATCCGTCCAGCTGTGACATTCAGCTCTTGATTCAGCCAAGACCATACAGGCATCATCCCGAGGCTTCAAACAGTGGTTCCCGCGACGCGGCTGCGTTTTCCACCACCTTGGTTTCGTGCAGTAATGACGCTGCTTCGTCCAGCGGTGATCAGTGGCGTTACTACATAGCCGTGCCTCCGTCCACCGTCCAACAGTTACGTTACCCTTTCGAGCTCCGTCCAGTTCAGTTATCTACGTTAGGCTCTGTCGAGCTCCGTCCAACAACACCGTTATTCCGTCTAGCATTAGCGCTGCCCCCATTCAGAAGTGGCATTATTCCGCCCAAATCCGCCCAGCACCAGCGTTTGCTCCGTCCAGAAGTGGCATTATTCGGTGCGGCCCGGTCCAGCTCTGTCCAGCTCCCCCGTCCAGTCTCCCTCACTATCGACCGGCTCTCCGATGAGAGATGGCCGCTGACGGCCGGCAGCCACTTGATCTTCGCTGACTTGGTGAAACGCGCCGCTGCCAACAGCACAAAAACATTCCAGACGAGATAAGGAGCGAGACGAGGCGACGCTTATGTGCCTCGCCAAGCGGCAACGGCTTAACTTTTACAGGCTGGCCGCCGCCGAGCCAAGCGGCCAATCAATGGTGCGGAGGGAGCGACGGATGGGAGTGGTTGGTGGTCGGGGGGGGGGGGGCAGTTGGTTGTGGTCTTCTTCTGTAGTTAGCTAAAATCATTCTTGGTGGTTTCATTAAACACTCTTGTAGATATGCCGCAATTAGAAATAATCAATCGTAGTCGTAATTGCGCTCTGAAAAAAATTAATATGCGAACGTGCGTCTTTATACATTTGAATGATATTGTTGCGGTTTTTGGCAAACACTTCTACTTTATTAGTGGAAGCACTGGTGTAGAATATCAGTTTCTACGTAGTTACCTTTATTACAGTAAGCCTCATCATCGAGTATAGGTTATCGATTAAATCAATCTATTCCGTACTGTCACCAATTTTATCAATTATCTGAAAATCTAAGCCCTAAATGCCTGACTCTTTAACCGGATAATTTAACTCGTGCCTATGACTGATTTAACTTCGATACGTGTCTGCTCAAAATGTTGAGGAGAAAACACAGTTTTAAGAACGCAACATGCTTCTAGTTAGTTAAGAAAGGTAAAGTAGAAGATTATGTGTGGAAGCTTAAATGACTAGCCAGTTCAAGAGGGATCCAAAAGTTTGCGGCAATCCGAATAGAGGCAGACCCCTACAACAAGCACCTACCATATGTCGTAGGTGCTCATTAATATGTGAAAACAAATATATTTGTTTAAACTGTTGAAGCTATAACCCACTAGATTCTTGCAACATTCATTCCATTTTTAAGGGAAAGTGGATTGGTAATATCCACGGAGCTGTTTTACGGCGTGACAAATTATCGTTCGTCGCACCCAACGCTGCAGACTTCTTTCTATTTCTCTGCATATTTGTTTGAGCAGTTGTGCGACAAACACGGCGCTATCACCGTATTTTCCAACACTGCCTCACAATTTCTCCCCGGCATGTTACCCGAAGGACCTATTCTTTATCCACGCTGCACACGAGTCCTGGCAGATCTGCCTTTGCATGACAAATGATGACCAAGTTTTTATTTTTATGGAAATAAGTTGGTCCTTATGGCAAGCTATTGACGCCAGAGTTCTAATGAGTGAAAGGGACATTAAGGGCTACTTAATATGCATGAACTGTTAAACCTCATACATATCAGACTGGCTCACTCAACCTCCATTAGTTTCCGCAATGCATAACAAATTTCGCCACTAAAACGCTAATTTTGCTATATTTAGCTGGCTTGTTAACAATATAAGAAATGCTTGCAAATTGGAACAGCCTGAAGAGTCGAATTCCGAGTCCAATGAATATGCCAGAAGGTATCCAACCAACGTAGGGGATTTATTTCTCTCGGTGTGCGTTCCTCCCTGACCGCCCGCAGGAAGGGCAGACACTGCAGCCAGAAGAACCGCAGGACTCCGACCCACGCCAACCAGAGGAACTGCAGGACTCCGGCCCACGCCAGACAGAGGAATCACGGGACTGCGGCCCACGCCAGTCAGAGGAACCGCAGGACTCCGGCCCACGCCAGACAGAGGAACCGCAGGGCTCCGGCCCACGCCAGTCAGAGGAACCGCAGGACTCCAGCCTACTCCAGTCAGAGGAACCGCAGTACTCCGGCCCACGCCAGTCAGAGGAACCGCAGGGCTCCCGGCCCACACCAGCCGGAGGAACCGCAGGACTCCAGTCTACGCCAGTCAGAGGAACCGCAGGACTCCGGCCCACGCCAGTCAGAGGAACCGCAGGACTCCAGCCTACGCCAGTCAGAGGAACCGCAGGGCTCCCGGCCCACGCCAGCCGGGCCGATATGCCGCGATTCCCGCTCAGGGACTCCGGCCCACGCCGGCCGGAGGAACCGCAGGGCTTCCGGCCCACGCCAGTCGGAGGAACCGCAGGGCTTCCGGCCCACGCCAACCAGAGGAACTGCAGGACTCCGGCTCACGCTAGCCAGAGGAACCGCAGTACTCCGGCCCACGCCAGTCGGAGGAACCACAGGACTCCGGCCCACGCCAGCCGGGCCGATATGCCCCGATTCCCGCTCAGGGACATCATTAGCGCGAGGAGCGCCTCCGTCCGAACAGGAGCCGCCGTGCTGATACCGAGCTGACGGCCAACTGATACCGACCGACAGGAAACGAGACGGCACGCGGGCCAGAAGACGGGAACCAGATACGTGCCGACCGGGTAGGTTGGCGGTGGGTGGTGAGAAGAGTCGCAGCGGGGCGGTCAGTGATGGAGGGATGGCGTCGGACGGCTGGGACGGCTGGGAAGGAAGGACTACTGACGATTGGGAAGGAGTTGAAGGAGAGACAGGGGAAGGAACTACTGTCGAGCTCTGATGAAGGCTATTAAAAAGCTAACGGGATGCGACAGATCAAGGGAGTAGGGGCCGCTGACAACTGTGACAGAGTCTGAGGGACCATTGACAGCTGTGATGGGGGCAGAGGGAACACTGCCCGCTGACGGACTGCGCCGGCCTAACCAAACCGGCGCCGACGGCGTGGCTGCCCGGCTACCGCCGCCGTCGCCGGCTGCCGGGGCCGCCGGAGCCGGCGAGTGGCCATCTCCGACCCGTTATTTGTCGGCCCGGGCCGTAACTTGTCGACCAGCGGCGCCAGCGAGTCGGCCCAGTGACAAGTGGTCGGTCCGCGCCGGCCGTGGACCCCGTCAACCGGAAAGGACCGTGATGGACAGGAGTCCATCGTCTGCATGGTGACTGGCGCGCGGGCCAGACCGGACTGTCTACTGACCGCTGCGGAGGCGCTCGGTAAACGGACTCCATCGTCTCGGCCCTGAGTCATTGGTCGCTAGAACGGTGCTGTGTTTTTATACCCATCTTCATTGCTCCGAGTTCTGACCGTTCTGAGTGTGATGAAGAATCGTCAGGGCGGCACTGGTGGATCGGCGACCGGTCGTGGTATGAGCGGGCTGTGTCACTGGTCGCCGGTGCCGGCTAGTGTTATGTCTGGGCCGCCCGACCGGCCGACCAGGTGGACGGGGTCAGCCGGCTGTGACCTTTCGAGCTGTCCCGTGCTATCCGGGTGCAGGGCACGTCACACGGCCGCGCTCCAGACCTGCGGCGCACTTCTCCGTCCACTAATGGGACGGACATGTGCTGTCGAATCGAATCGTATGCTCATTTGGTTCAGGAATCTGCGTTTTTGTGTTTTCCGACGAGGATCATCATTCCCTATGACTAAGCAGAGATGGTAAATGAAGTGTCCTTTTAACTTTCATTCATGA